GGAATGTAAGAGAAAGTACAGTTCCAAAGGACGTATTCTTAGAAGACCTGCATACCTCGAGGATTATGGGACTTGAACACTGGCTGTTTGTGTTCCCTGTGTGACTGGAAATGGTATAGTATGGGCATAATATTACATGACTTTTTTTTTAGAAATAAAAACTTATTACAATGGTTAGTACATTAAAATATTCTTTAAAAAAAAATCCGAATAAAAACAAGAACAAGAGCAAAAACAATAACAATGACAATAAATTCTGCTGCGCGCCAGCGTGGCAGCACACGATTCTTGACATGGCTTAGCGACCTGGCGAACTATATATTGTCGAAATCTCGATTTGTGTCTGTTAACATTTCGGGGGGGAGTTTTTACGGAATGAGGGGGAGCGCACTGAGTTGCCAAGCAAGATATTGTGCCCGCGGTACGTTTCATTCCATGTGCTTATATTAGAAGTCGGAAGTCTAAATAGAAGAAAATATTTAAGAAACTGAAAAACAAAACGATATGGCTGATTTACATATTGCTGGAAATTTTCATCAAGGCAGTGAACATTTTAGTGTTCAATCTAGAGGTAAGCAATGTGCTTTCATGAGCTTATCGGCAGTTTTAACAGCAGAAAATATCCCAATTTCAGATTGGTCAATAATAACTTTAAATAATGTCTTATTGCAAGCTGACAAAATGTATTTAAAAGCTCTCAACAGTGGCTTAATTGTTTTAGACCCAGGTATCGAATTTTTGTCTGTAGATAACTTACCAAAAGTTGTTGGTGTTTCATGTTGTGGGAGCATGTTTTCATACGAAATCGAACTGCCGGTGGTAGCAGAAGATGTTAATTTACCCATTGTGGTAGAGCCCATTGAGGCACACAATAACACTCAACTACCTATGAGGGTAGAACACACAGAACTACCCATTGTGGTAGAGCCCTTTGAGGCACACAATAACACTCAACTACCTATGAGGGTAGAACACACTGAACTACCCATTGTGGTAGAGCCCTTTGAGGCACACAATAACACCCAACTACCTATGAGGGTAGAACAAACTGAAATACCGATTGTGGTAGAAAACACTGAGCTACCCATGGTGGTAGAATCTATGGATAAAAACCTTATTTGGTTTATTAATTATGAACAGGAGCTTCAGGGTCTTGTTATAACTGACAATGTTGAGTCTCATTACTATACTCTTCATTCGGCACTTTTGAATACATTCATTAGTCATAGTTCTGCTATTTTAGTTTTAGAGGGCTATATGATGGCAATAATAAAGCAATCAAACTTTTTCTACATATTTGATTCTCATGCCAGAGACAGAAATGGCATGCCCGATCCTAATGGCACTGCAGTTGTCATTAAGTTTGATAATGTTCTAGATTTGGAACAATTTTTGTATTCTCTTTCGACAAAACTACATGTCAATTTATTTGAAATAGTACCTGTGTATGTAACAAAAACTAATGTAAGCCCAAGCAAGGCTAAAGATTGTAGAAAAAGAAAACAGTCAAAAGCAATCAGGCTCAAAAAAGTGAGTGAGTCTATGAAAAGAAAGCGGTCAGAGGAAACTGACAGTGCTAAACAGATCAGGCTTGAGAAAGATAGACAAGCCAAAAAACAAAAGCGTGGAAAAAAAGTGTCACAGCCTGCACATGAAATTGATCAAGAAAATTATTTAAAAAATTTTGACAACACAAAGTATGGTGGTATTGAAGAGCAATGTTGGGCTAAAGCTAACATCAATAAGTTTTGTAAATCTATGCAATATACTGTTTTTCAATGTACAATTTGTCAGGAGGCATGGCCCCTGAAAGCTAAACCAAGGACACCTTATGTGTGTTCAAGATGCTCTAGAGATAAAAAGTATCCTAGAAAATTTTCATCTGAAAATTCCATGATACCTTCATCTGTCCCAGATGAATTGCAAAACTTGACTCAAGTTGAGGAAATGTTAATTGCTCGTGCTTTGCCAATAATGAGAGTGTATATTAAACCTGGTGGGCAAAGGGGGTATTCAGGGCATTGTATTAACCTGCCTCAAAATGTCACAGAACTTGCAAAATCTTTGCCAAGATATCCCAAGGATTTGGCAGTAATTATTGTCAAAGTTAAAGGCAAGGACAACACATTTAAAGATGTCAGAGTAAGAAAACAAAAAAGTCCACAATGCTTTAGTTTGGCTAGTGAATAATAATCCACATTATTCTGAAATACTAATTAATGATCATGCATTGCATTCACTGCCTGAAAATGGTGTACCACCAGAACTTATGACTGTTGAGACTAATGATGATATTGTCTCAGACAATGACAGTTTTCCAGATATGGGTCCCTTAACTGATAATCCTTCTGAGGATATCATTTACAATGAGTCAACAGTGATGAGTAGTTTTTTACCTGTTGGTGAACAACAACAACAGGAAATTGAAGCTGTTAGAAATAAGCTCTGTGAAAATGAGCCAATGTCCTGGCCTACAGTTGATAATGAACCAATAAATGAGTATCAAGTGCCTTATTTAGCAACAATGGCTTTCCCAACATTATTTCCTGATGGAAAAGGTGATTGTACCAATCAAGAACTCCTGAGAGATGTTCCTCTTCTGGAAAAAATAAAACATCTTCTAAAGTTTGCTGAAATTATTGATGGTAAATGGGTATACCGTTTTGCAAATCACCCTAGGTTTCCTTATTGGGCCTTCAATATGATTCAAAGAAAACGAATTTTGCAGCAAAGTGGGATATTCCTGAAACAAAATCCAGGTGAAGCACATCTCACTATAGATGAACTGCGTGAGATGGCTGCCAGTAACAGTTTTTTTTTATGTCCAAAGTTTCCAGATATGTTGGAAATATTGCAGGTACAAATGCTTACTGGAATAAAGTGTGAGAGGAACTTAAAGCTATAATAACAAATGTTGGACCACCAACATTATTTTTTACTTTTTCCTCAGCAGATATGCATTGGCCTGAGTTGCATGCATTATTTAATGCTGATAGAGACTGTGAAAATTCTAATATTTCCAGTGAATCAAGGCGACAAAATGTCATTAACAATCGTCATCTTGTGGACTGGTTTTTCACACAGAGACTAGAAAGCTTTGTTAAACACTGGCTTTATGAAACACTTGGTGCAAAGTGGCACTGGTTCAGATATGAGTATCAAGGTAGAGGTAGTATCCAGTGTCATGGTACTGCTAAATTAAATAATGACCCAGATTTGTGCCAATTAACTCAGACTGCTTTGAAAGGTTTCTTAGCACAAAAATTTAGAGAAGAAAATGATTGCTTTGACACAACATAACTAGACCAGGATATTGAGGCTGGTCAGAAAGCTGCTGAGACAGTATGCCGGTATGTTGATTGGTTGTTATCAACTGTAAACCCAAATCCACCAGATGAGGACATGTGGATAAGACCTGAGGTTCATCCATGTCAACGATGTCATGAAGACATCTCTGAACATGAAAAACAGTCAGATTATGTAGATCTTTTAAACATGGTTCAAAGACACACTTGTTGCAGTACAAGTTATTGTCTGAGAAAAAAGTCAAATGAAACAGATTTAAAATGTCGATTTCATTTTCCCTTTGAGCATTGTCCAAAGACAAAGCTAGAATTTGAAAAAATTCACACTAAAGATAATGATAATCATTACAGAGCTAAAGTTGTTACTGAACGAAATGATGGCAGGTTAAATAATCATTAACAACTTCAACTACAAGGATGGAGAGCCAATTGCGATATTCAAGTTGTCATCGATCACTATGCTTGTGTTGAGTATCTGACAAAATATGCTGCTAAGGGTGAACCAAGATCGCCTTTATTAAACCAAGCATGCAATTCTGTTGTTCAAAATATAGATGTTAATAGCGAGTCTCGTCGAGCTATTAAAAAAATAGTTATGAAGTCTCTCGGTGAAAGGGATTATGCAGCCCAGGAGACAATGCATCATTTATTGTCACTAAAACTTCATAGCTCATCATTTAATGTTATCCCAATAAGTTTAAATGGTTCACGCAGAGTACGTGAAAATGTTGAAGAAGATGAATCATGTACTGATCATTCACTTCTTGACGTATATGCTAATCGTCATGAGTATAATAATTCACGAGACGTTGTGAACATGAACTTCGTCCAGTTTGCTACGACGTATAAAGTTGTAAAAAACAACTGACAAAATTGCCAGAGAATGTCATACCAAGAATATTTCCTACGTACTCTCCAAATCCAAAAGGTAAAAATTTCGGTCTTTATTGCAAATACCAACTTTTGAGCTATAAACCTTGGAGAAGTTCTCAGAATAACGCATGGGGTGATCAAAGGACCCTACTGACGAACTTTTGTCAACACTTGGCAAGAATTCTTGCAACACCTTATGGCAACACAATGTCCCTGATTGGTTTGACAAGTTACAAGCTGTATTCAAGTCAACAATCAGAAGCTGAATCTTCTGAACAACCAGAAACAATTCGAGAGGAGTGGATGATTCTATCAGATCTTAACACACCATTTGACACATCAGAGGAAACGCCAGAGTCAATGTATGACTGGCACGTTGACAGAGGTAATTATTCTGAACAAAAAATCCATGAAATGCCTTCATGGTTAAAAACAAACAAGGAAGAATTCAGTATGGTTGAGCAATATGATGATGTTGATATTGACACTTTTAGTGAAATGCAAAAACTTGCTTACGACATTGTGAATTCTCATTTCAATAATACATCATTACATAAAGAGCCATTGTGTCTGATTATAAATGGCGTTGCAGGAACTGGTAAGAGTTATCTTATTAATGGCATTCGAAATTTGTTACAAAGGAAGTGTGCAATTACTGCTACAACTGGAAAAGCAGCGTATAATATACGAGGAATGACGGTTCATTCTTTATTGAAATTACCTGTAGGATCGCAAGGTAAAAAAGATCTAACAGGGCAAAGCTTGTGCAGATTGCAGGAGAATCTGACTGATATTGATTACATCATCATTGATGAGTATTCTATGCTTGGTCAAGTTACTTTTGGTTGGATAGACAAACGTTGCAAACAAGCAACTGGCTCTTATGACAAAGTATTTGGAGGAAACTCGTTAATTTTAACTGGCGATCCAGGTCAGTTGCCACCAGTAGCAGACAAACCTCTTTATCATGCTAAACCATCCAGTGCTGTTGGTGAACAAGGTTTTCAAGCATATCAAATGTTTGAGAAAGTTGTTAAACTCACAGTAAATCAACGAGTTCAAGGTGTGACATCTGAACAAATCATTTTTAGAGAGTTATTGTTACGACTTCGCAAAGGCGAATCAACAATTGATGATTGGAAATTACTCCTAACCCGTCAACCATCAAAAGTCACAAATATAAAAGAATTTGAAGACGCTACTAGACTTTTCTACAGCAATGAACAAGTTGCCAACTACAATCATGAGCAACTTTCAAAACTTAGTCATCCGATTGCCCGTGTCAATGCTCGTCATTCATCAGAAATGGCAAAAAAAATTTCATCTGATGACATGTCAGGCTTAGAACCAGTTGTTTTTCTGACAAAAGGTGCCAGAGTCATGTTAACTATGAATTTGTGGTCAAGTGTTGGGCTCTGCAATGGTGCTACTGGAATAGTTGTTGATATTATCTATCACAACAACCATCAACCACCTGACTTGCCTATTGCAGTCATTATTGAGTTTGAAAACTATAGAGGTCCTGCTTTTAATGTGGACAAACCATCTTGCATTCCAATATGTCCAATCACCGTCTCATCACAGTCAGAAACTGGTTTTCATGAACGGCAACAGTTGCCTCTAAGACTCGCCTGGGCTCTAACAATACACAAGAGCCAAGGACTTACTCTTGCAAGAGCTTGGATAAATATTGGAAAATCAGAAAGAACTGCTGGAGTTTCATATGTTGCTATAAGCAGAGTGAAATCACTTTCATCTTGCGTCATTGAACCCATGACATATGAACGATTAACAAGCTTGAAATCATCAGCTAATTTACAATACAGGCTTGAGGAGGAGGACCGCTTAGATCGTTTAGCACAGACTACCAATAGCAGTGCGTTTTAAATTGACAAAAAATATAGTTTGAAATTAGACATGGGATTCTGTTAAAGGTCCCATTACTTTCTTGTGTACTGTATATTAACTTTATTCTCTGTTGTAAATTATTTCCATATTATTTGAAGAATGTCATTTATTGTCACTGTATGTATGAAAATATGCTCATCAACATGTTGTTTGGTAAGTTTAGTTTTTACTTTGTTTCTGTACTTCACTACACACTTCTGCGACATTCATTGGGCTAGCTAGGGTATTGTAGTGAGTCTAGTGACTATTGTATTAAAAAAATCATGTTCTTTTCTTTTGTATAGATGCCTACTTCTGGATAAAAATAAGGAGCAACTGGAAATACAATGGCATAACTGGACAAATATAAAAATATTGGAATATACAATATATACTGCTCAAACAATTGGATAACAGTCAATAATGAAAACATTTTGAAGCTGTCATTTATCATTTCAACATCATTCGTTCAGGAAAGTCAAGAAATGTCATTTTTGCAAGGGAAACTGAAAGAATAATGGAGTAACACAAGAAGAGATGTGTATGTAACAAAATTAACTTTTTAAACTCAATTAGAAGACACAATGGCATTTCTGGATTCTGGTTTTTGCCAAAAATATTGCAATTTAACCTTTTTCAACAATGTGATTGCACTGAATAAGAAGAGCACGATGAAACTGCTATAGCTACAACAATGATGTCTGCTCATGCAGAAAAGTGAAGAAACATGATTTTTCATGGAAAAAGTGTAATATAGTTATACAGAAGGAGAGGTGAACTACACTGTTACAGTGTTACCTGTGCTATCAGTGGACAACTAAACCAGGTTCATTTACTGTCATGGACCTGGTAGTTCCAAATGTCATTTAATTTGTTTTTCCAGTGTTTTGCTACAAAAATATGAATGAACAATTCATCAAGTAATCTTAAGGAACTAATGGTATAATTGTACAGCCATGTGTCAATATACTTAATGTCATCAGATCAATTTAGAACTGTTTTTCAAGCACTTATAGTTGAACATTGAACAAATTTCATACATACACAGTGTTGTCAGATAAATTCATGTAAATAGAGTTCTGTATTTTGCTGTGTTGTGATGTTGTGTGTCTGATATTAAATAAAATGTACTATGTGATGTGCTGTGTAGTGTTAACTAATATGTGATGTCGTGTGATGTGATGTGATGTGATGTGATGTCATGTAGTGTTGCCTTTCCAAGCCTATTAATGACTTAATGTAAAATTATACTTATTAATTTCCGTAAAATCAATTTTGACTAATTAATTATTTGTTGGACAGTGTGTCTTTGTCTATAACTTTATAGGTTCTTTTTCTTGGAAATACCACTGTAAATACAGCTAGATTCATCCTTAAATAAACGACTGAGCAAATCAGTACAATTTTATTCAATACCAATTGTGACAACTATTTATAAGTCTATTATATACAATTTGCAAAAAAACCTTAGTAATTAAACTGTTAAATATTTTCAGCAACACAACAGTGACAACACTCGTCACAGTCTTCTGATAAATTCAGACAGAAGTATCTTTTGTTGAACAATCAATTTCTAGAATCCTATTATCCATATAATTTATTGCTGCAAATGTCGATTTGATGTTTTCGATGTGCGCTTGATTCACTGGTTTGATTTGACTTTTTGAATTTTGATAGAGCGCTAAACAATAACTGAAAAGTTACACATATGGTAGGTAGTATTGCGGGCGCTACACACCTCGTGCTTTCTTTTTTCTCCGAGTTTAGACTTGGAGTGGGTACATTTTAAATCAAAGGTAAGTAAAAAAGTTTAACTTTGTTTTCCTACGGAAGGACCATTCGAAAATCACGTATGTGAGAATGTCTCCTGAATAAAGATTGCTATCATTCAACGTTTTAGAAACGATTCTCGTGGAAAACAATGCTCATTATTTAATTTTCTAATATATAATTCTGTCGATAACGTTTTGTTACTTGGAGCCGAGCACAGAACTTTTATCAGTAATCAACTTTAATACCAAGTGTACTTGGATGTACTGGTGTATAATTTTTACATTTTTCAGAAACTGATGTACTAATCTTGTAGTGATTTAAATCACCACCTTTATTTAAACTATAAAGTTTCCTTTTATATTTTTTTAAGATTCAAATTCAACAAGGATGACCAGCCAAGATCAATGTAAGCAAACTATAAACAAAGCTAAGCAAATGATGACATTTAACTTAATAGTAATTTCTGGTCTTCTTTACTTTTTCTAGCTCCAGTTAAAGATGCTAATGGACTTTCTTGCTATCTCCATGCAGTCTCACCAGTAAAAGTATCTGCCTCGGGTACTTGCAAATATTTCAATATGACTTTGCAAACGTCTGATGGTTCTATGAATGCTGTGTGTTTCTCTCCTGAAAAAAGATCAGTTTTGCAGAAATTCCAAACTGAAAAAAGTCCTGTTAAGATCACGACATTCAGAACCAGTTCAAAATATGGTAAGGAAGATGTTGTAATTGATAAAGCCACAAAGATAACACCAGTCGAAAAAAACATTGGATTTGAACACAGAGATCTGGCTCCTTCGTTTGTTACATCTCTGGCATCATTAAACCAAGTTTCAGCAGAACAATTGGTCACAGTGAAGGCAAAGGTTGCGAAAGTAAGCGGAAGCAAAAAAATTTCAAGCCAAAGGATTTCCAGTGGCCACCTGAAAAAACAAGAAATTGTGATTGCTGACCCAACCACCTCGATGAAACTTATCTTGTGGGAGCAGTTTATCGACTGCCTCGAAGCCGACCAAACATACATGTTAAAGAATCTTCGATTAAAACAAAATGGTACAACCAAGTATTTGAACACTCCCAAATCAGATACATTTTCTTTTGAGAAGGTCGAAGAATTTACCGAACCTGTCATTGAAGATGTCCAAACATTGTCCACCATCGACGTCTGTGTCAGCTTATTGGGAGTAGAGTCCATTTCCGCCTACCATGCTTGTCGTAAATGTGGAAAAAAGACTTCTTCAAAAAACGAAGGTGTGCTCCAATGTGAGACCTGTCGTATGGTTAAAAAAAGTGGTTCTGCCAGTAAGCTATGGTTTTTGCGACTTCTCTTCAAGAATGTGAAAAAACCAAGCGATACCATCAGCTTGTCAATTTTCAATGATAACTTGACAAGAATTGTTGACTACCTGCCAGAGGAGGTGGATTTAACTACAATTTCCCCTGAACAATTGTCTATTGCTCTACTTTCTATGCCGCAAGTTCAAATCACATATGATATTGTAACAAGAAAGGTTATTGATGTTAAAGAAATTAACATTTAATTAACATTTTGATAGACATCATTATCTTGTTTTGAACATTTTATTGTTAATATTTGCTATTGACATTTAATTGTCAGTTGTTTTAGTTGCGTGAGGGACAACCTTGTTGTTAGTAGCAATATAAAATATTACATTGTCAGTTGTTTTAGTTGCGTGAGGGACAACCTTGTTGTTAGTGGCAATATAAAATATTACATTGTCAGTTGTTTTAGTTGCGTGAGGGACAACCTTGTTGTTAGTGGCAATATAAAATATTACATTGTCAGTTGTTTTAGTTGCGTGAGGGACAACCTTGTTGTTAGTGGCAATATAAAATATTACATTGTCAGTTGTTTTAGTAGTTTGCATTAAATTTTATTGGTTAAGATTTGCGCAAGCAGTGTTGTGATGTTGTGAAATGCGAGGCAGCATTTTCTTGCGATAGTAACTTCTAGTAATAATAATAATGGAAACTTTATTGACTTTTTTCTTATGATATACAAATTACAAAGGTAAGCCTCTCTTTGACAGGTAGTTTACCAGTGTCTACTTGAATTGGTTACATGTTGTATTTACAGATTAAATGTATTAGTATGATATAAGTTGTGGCTTATTCCATTCTTTGTTACGTTTACAGAATATATAATAGGAAGACCTTATACAAATGTTCATAATTTTTCTAACAAGATATTTTCTGCATTGACTATCAACTTCTAGATCTTTCAGCATATCCATGAAACCTAATGCTGGTTTAGAAAACACACCTAATATACTAATAGACATATTAACGAATATTACTTTTTCATACATTTTACACTGCTCATTAATTAATGCTTGATATTTTTGTTCCTTACGTGTCACATTAGCGTGGAGATTAGATTCAAAGCCAACAGTAAGTTCCAGTATATAAATACATTTGTTTTCAAGTGATATTAGAAGATCAGGCCTATATGTATCTCCAGTGATGACTGACAGGCTAATATAATCTGGTAGGTCAACATAAAGGGTAGATTTCTTAACAGATCGAAGTGCTGTTGAAATACAATGCAGAACCGAGTCATGTCGCCATGTAAAACGACCTTCATTTAGGTAAGCGTTGCATCCAGCCACGATGTGAAGAAGTGATTCAGGTTTCAGACAAAACGAGCAATTAGATGTTGACGAAATTCCCCACTTTTGAAGATTTTTGTTAGTTGGAAGAGTGTTATTTATATATCTTATGGTGAAATTGAATATATTCTTTGGAAGTTTGCTTTGAACGGAGGACCACGTCGAGTTCAGCGTGAGGGTAGAATATTTAGCAATGTTGGAGAAAAATGATCCTTGTGAAGTAAGGTGAAGCTGAAGCTTTTCTTCGTGTTTTTCTCTTACGGAACTTAATACTTCTTTGGTGTTTTTGTACGTGTCATATTGTATATTTTTGTGATTACTAGTGTTTTTCTAAAGATTAGTGATTTCTGTATTAGGCGACGATTTTAGAGCATTTAGGGAGATTGTTTGGCATTGAAGGAATTTAGTTGAGGGTAGGATGACATTAAGTCCAAGTTTGTTGCAAGGGGGGGGGGGAGCGTTGCTAAGTGTTGCAGAGATAGGAAGCTCAAGCCATTTTCTGATATACTTTGAAGTGATGCTATCAAGTTTTTCGTTTACCCATGTTTTTCCTATGTCAGCAACGGTGAAGTTCCAGGAAATTTTGGAAAGAACATATCGGTTGTACAAAAGTATTTTATTCTTCGGATGTAGTGGTAGCTCGTTAATTTCTTTAAGTATGTTTGTTAGTGTCTCGTAAACTTCAGATTTGTGATTGTCGTCAGACATGCTGAAGTCAAAATAGCGGCCCAAATAGCGAAATGATTTTCCAATTTCTACACGTGGTACAAGATGGTTATTTATAATTAATTTTGGGAGATATTGTATGGATTTAGTTAAATGTTTTTTTATACCGAATGAAACACATTTATCTACGGGTATTATCATATCTGACCACTGACACCAGATTGTAAAGCGATTGAGGAGCATTTGATTCTCTTTTTCTTGTCCTGTGATAATAGCCGCGTTGTCGGCAAACTGGAACCAATGAATTGGGTATAATGGAATACCGTTTACGCAATGTTTCCAAAATCCAAGCTGGCGATATTTATCTGATTTAATGTGTTGAATGAATGTATCAAAAGTCATGTTGAATAATAAGGGACTAAAGGCGGATTTCCACTTACAGCGAAATTGTTCGTTGGCGAAATATTTGCATATTTTCTTTTGAATTGAGAACACTCAAGTCGCACTAATTTATTTATGCTGTTTAAATTCAAAAGAAAATATGCTAATATTTCGCTAGCGGACGATTTCGCAGTAAGTGGAAATCTGCCTTAAGGCAATCTCCCTGAAGCACACCCCGGCCCACTGTAATGAACGGCGTGTTGAATTGATCAGTTATAATGGAAGTTTGAAAGTTAGTGTAAAGGCTGCAAATGAGATTCTTGATATGATCGGGAATGTGATGATATTTCAGGACTTCGTTTATAAGTGCATGATAAACTTCATGAAATGCATTTTTTAAATCCAAACTATTAATGATATGTGCCATCTGTGCCATATGTTCTATAGTTCCAAAAAGTTTAGGAGTGAACCTTTTTTGTATGTTTTGTTCAATGTAGTTGTTCTCAGCAAGGTATTGAAATGTCTTATTTCGAAGACATGACGTAAACACTTTAAGAGGTATGGATTTAAGAGTAATAGGTCGAAAATTACCTGGTTCACTTGTTTCTCCTTTTTTATGTATTAAGATTATGCATGCCTTTTTTCGTATAATAATAATAATAATAATAATAATAATAATAATAATAATAATAATAATAATAATAATAATAATAATAATAATAATAATAATAATAATAATAATAATAATAATAATAATAATAATAATAATAATAATAATAATAATGTAATGATAATGATAATGATAATGATAATGATAATGATAATGATAATGATAATAATAATTTTTTTTTTTGCGGTTGCTGTTGTTTCGAAGGTTAGATTCATAACCGACGGTCAATTTTGCAATATATAATGTGTTGTCTGAAGTAACGAGGAGAATGTCAGGACGATATTGGTCCCCAGTGATTATTGATGGACACTTGTATCCAGGAATATCGACGTACAGGCTGGTATTTTTAACACAATGAAGGGTTTTAGCTAGGAAATTTAAAATCGAGTCATGGCGCCAAGTGAATCTGTCAAGATAAGACTTGCAACCAGCAACAATGTGTAGCAGGGTTTCGGGTGACAAACAGTTGGAACAACTAGAGATGGAAGATATATTCCACCTTTTAAGATTTTGACCAGTTGGAAGTGAGTTATTGATATATCTGATACTAAAATTGAAGATATTTTTTGGAAGATTTGACTGAGCCACTGACCATAATTTTGTTAAGTGTGATAAGGCGAATTTATCAACACAACTAAAGAAAAGTCCTTGAGTTAGTAGCTTGTTTTGCAGCTTGTCCTCTTGGTTTGTGCGGAAATCTCGGAAAACTTCTTTTGTACAGGTATAAGCGTCATATTGGATATTCTTATTGGTACTCGTGGTTTTCCAAAGTTAATTTATTTCTGTGTTTGGGGAATTTTTTAAGGCGTTTCTCATAACCGTTTGGCATTGAACAAATTTAATAGAAATGGGACAAATATTGAGGCCAAATTTATTTTTAGACATGAAAACTGTACTGAGTGTTCCTGAGATTGGTATTTCAAGCCATCGATGTATGTACTTGTTAATGATGGAATCAATGTTTTCTTTAACCCATGTTTGAGATATAGGCCGTATTCTCTGGCACGAAAAGTCGCTTAGAAAACGATTTTCGTTGCCCCCCTTCGGGCACTACTTGAAAACACGATAGAAAATTAGGATAAATTATAGAAAGTCTAAATTCACTTGTTTTCACCTTCACAAACCTGCAGTTTTCGAGCATTTCATCTTCGAAAAATCAGTAAATTTGCATGTTTTGCAATACACCGACGCCATTTTGATTCAGGAAATGTATTGGATACTTGGTGTAATATACGACATATATTGCAGATTCAGCAGTTTTATACCGGGATTTAAATGAAGTTTCCAGCATTTTTGCTGCGCAAGCAGGTTTCAACAAGGAAGCTTTGAGTGGAGTTTTACGAGGTTTTTCACAAATTTTCATAGTTTTTCTAAACTAAATTAGTCAGAGAAGACTTAGACAATTTTGCTTACACGCATCAAAATCATCCACGGGCGTTTTGTTTCAGTCAAGTTATATGAAATAATTACTACACAATTCCTTTCCTGCTTAACCTTTGTTTTATATTAACTACTTTTATAATACACACGTTTTCTCAACAAAACTATTTACAACATCTCAGTTTTTTTACAAAGTTAATTACCAACGCCTTTATCTTATTATCATCAATCCACAAAAAAACGAATTTTTTGAGCGAAGACCCAGACATCTTTACGAAGTTGAAAGAGAACAAATTTCAAACATTTTCCTTATGAAAACGTGAGAGGACTTGTGAAAACTGCCAAGTTGGCCCAGTCTAAACTTGCTGAAGTATTGGAACCTGAATCTGGAAATCCAGAAGTCAATGTTATTCAGTCGATGAAAGGAAAATGCAAAACATTTGGCGATGATGCAGAGAGACAACGAAGAGCTGAAAAGTGAAAAAGGAGTCCAGAAAGTTCACATCTTCGGAAAAGATCAGAGTGTTCCAAAATAGTGGAAAAAGTGTTTAAGATCCGGTGAAAACAAGGAATCCCTCATATATTTTTTATGTGAACACTGGAGGTGATGGGACTCCTCCCGGTGGTTTTCCATTTCAACTATGTACGTAACTGCTAAAGAAAGATGCTATGTTTTATATCCCGGTGATTCCCCGAACGATAGTGTTACAAGTAATGAGGTGTCTTCGCTTCATAGCAACCACGAAAAAGCAGACACTCGTTTAATTCTACATGCTAACCACGCAGCAGCAACGTACGATAAAGTTGTTATCAA